GAATTATCCGGCCACTAAGTGAGAGGCATGCGTTCAATCTTGTCGGAAGCGCCAACAACAGTGCGGTCCTTAATCGACACAGACGGGATAAGTCCACACCCAAGACCTCCATGCCTTGTTGCTTCCCTATCGATCTCCCGTCCGGTCTCAATTTACTTTTTACCTCATGGTTTACATTCCACGATAGCGAGATATATAGCCAACCGTGCTCCGGATATCCACCTATATCTCGCGGTGACAGACATCACCCGACTTCTACCGGTCTAAGCATGGCTAAGCATATATATATTCGATCCACGGACCTATACCGGTTAAAGGTGTAATATCCGGACAAGGAATGTACATGCATCAAGTGGTTTCATTCAACTCTTATAACCTAATGCATCAATCATAAATACGTAAGTAAACATTTGTAAATTATGGGAGACTTATAATGCTCCGGGCTTGCCTGCTCGCAGAAAGGAAGTAGGACGGTGGTCGGGCACTCGGAAGCTCTTCAGGGTCTCGCTCCACGCCTTCGGGAGCTACGACTTGCCATGGATCCTCCCACGGGTTCCCTTCCTCGCTTCTTGAATTCCACAACGTGATCTCTTCCTCCGATCCTAGATGCATGAGTATGGTATAAGTATTACGAATGCATATATGTTAACAAGTGCATCACGTTGTTTGAGTAGGTGCATATCTCTTCTCGCTTACTACTTAACTACTTCTACAAAGCATCGACTATGCCATAAACAGTATCTACTTGTTTCGCTCATAACTGGAGTTCTACAAATCCAAATCCAGTGATCCTGGACTTTCTGGAAAGCTTATAAAATTTTCTACAACTCTGTTATTAACCATTTTTACAGTACACATCAGTTTCAACATGCAAATCCTCACACTCTAGAATCAGTCCGGAAATGACTTAACATGCAACATAAAGTAAGAATACTTCTACTTCAGGTAATCATTCAAAATTTGACAACCTAGAACTTACCAATAGTTTAAACATACCAAATACAGTTAAGATGATATAATGGTAAAGCCCAAACTATTTATTAAATTGCCTTTATTATTTTATTTAGATACCTAGGTTAAATAATAAATATATATCAGATGTGCTTAATAAATTCTCAAAAATTTACAGAGCTTTACTAATGCTATCAAGAGACTACTGTAAAAATTTCATGTCATTTTACCAAGTAGAACATTCTATACGAAAATGACAAGGCAGCAAGGCTTGAAATAGCATAAATGGAAAACCCTATTGAAAAGTGTCAAGCAACAGATTTCATATTTTTCTTAGCATCCATATGGTACTAGGATTACCTCCAATAAATTTCATGAATTTTGGACTCATACTTAATTTATGAAAATTCATGCAAGGATTAACTAGTCATAAAAGAAAAATCTCTAACTTTAAATCTACCCATGCACTGGTCCTCAAATTTTTACCAGAGTTCACACATGCTAACATTAGTCCACCACAAAAATTTCATAATTTTTGGAGCACAGGAACTCTAGATATAAAATAAACAAATTTGAATGCATTCAAAAGCACATTTGAAATCCCTATTTAAATCTCCAGAAATTTCTACTGTTGAAACCAAGAACATATTTTTCCAAAATACTACACTTCCTAAGCAACACAATCATATTTATTTCACCATTTTAGGAGCTACCAAACTAAAGATACAAAAATAACAAAACAAATCAAAAACTGGATTCAAAATGAGTTAGCCTACACTACTTCTGTCGCTGACAGGTGGGACCCGCTGGTCAGGGGACCCCACGCGTCAGTGACACGGAGCAGGGCAGCGGCGCTGCGCGGTGCTGGCGCGGCCAGAGCTCGCCAACGGCGAACTCGCCGGCGGTGACATCATCACACGATGATCTACTCGACTTCGCGCATCGATTGAGCTACTTGGGTGGCTTTCTCGCCTGAGCTAGCGGCACTGGCGGCGGCCATGGCGGGGTGGAGGTGCGGGTCGACGGTGAAACGCCGGTGTGGGCTACGGTGGTTCAAATCAACGCGTGGACAAGCATCTATGAACGCTGAGGGACCTAGCGCGCTAGCTACCGGAGCGGGAGGAGTACTGTGGCGGCGTGGCCACGACGACGGGGCTCACGGCGGAACTCCGGCGAGCCTACACGCGCTGCGGTGGCTTACCGGGCTTTGTCGTGCCGGGCACGGGAGAAACAATGGGTGCTTGGGGGAGCGGTGGAGCTATCACGGTGGCGAAGGAGCAGCGAGGACGAGCTGGTGGCGGCTATGGCGACGGCGGAGGTGAAGGCCGAGCTTCATTCGTCATCGGCATGGCGAGGAAGACGGAGTAGAAAATGGGAAATGAAGCGGCGGGCGACTTCGGGCGACATTTGGCGGGGTTTATAAGGCGCGGCGCGCGGCGTGGCTTCGGTGTCGGTGTGATCAGCGCTGGCGACGCGCGTCGTCGCCGGGACACGCGGCGCGCAAACTCGTTCGATCGACCCTTTGAAGAACAGGCGTTTCGGATTCGTCGATCGTTCGATGGTCACCGACGGTAGCGGTTTTCGTTGATTTACCGGCTAAACGGTGGCTCCTTCGTGCAAACTTCTTGAATAGAAGTTGTAGAACCATGTACCATCTCCAACTCTTGTTAAGGCAGCATACTCTAATTCGCAACCTAAACCGAGTAAAATCATGCTCAAAGTAGGCTTGTCAGTCGACATGTGGTTTCACGACTTAGCAAATTTCGTTAAGTGTTGAAATCAGATTTTGATGATTCTTGTGATCCAATTTCAAACATGTTAGGAGTTGAATCATGTGATGACCCAAAAATAAAAGTTGTTCCTTATGTCAAACACTACAACATTGCTTTAGTGAACTCCTCCATGCAAGGTCTCTAACACCTAGTTCAACTTTAGTCAAACATGTCACTTTGAAATCATGATACATACACAAACCAGGGCTAAATGACCAAACTAGCCTTAGCACTAAATACCAAAGTTGTTCCTAATGATATCCTAAGCATGTTTAAACAATTTGCAAGGTCATTTAAGCATTTCATGTAGTAGTCACTCATATAGCTATTCAGGTCAACACATGAAATATCACTTAAGTGCTTGATCATGAAATGTGGCCTTCATGAACAATGTTTCTTTTGTTAACCTAAGTGTAGCTAAAGTGTTATAGTGACCAACATTACACACTAGCATTTATTTGCACATGATCATATGCATATGTTCCAAGAAATACGAGATAACAAGCAATGTTTCATATGTTTCGATCGAATGTTTCAATTGTAAATGATGATTTATGAATGCTTGATGCTCATGCTTATGTTATGCAAGTCAAGTTATGCAAGGCTAACACCCGAGGTGTTACAACCACCACCACCAACAACAACAACGCATTTTAGTCCCAAATAAGTTGGGGTAGCTAGAGTTAAAACTCAACATGAGCCCCTAGTCACGGATCAGACACGTCAATAGCCACTTTCCAAGCACTCATATCAAACAAAGATCTATAGGTATATCCTAACATTTTAAATTCCTTTTTATTACCTCCCCAATGTCAGCTTCAGTCTTCCTCTACATCTCCTCAATTATTTTTTATTCTTTAGCGCTGAAATAGAGCACATGAATCATGGAAGGAAATGGTCAGTAATGATTTAGTATATACGTAGATAATTCATGCACAGTCGTAATTTTCTCATATTGCAATTTATTAGTTAGCAAGTGCAACACTGTGCTAAGTAAAAAAAAATAGAAAAAACATATTGACACTGTACCTAGCTGCATGAGGTCTTTAACTGCTGCAAAACACTGTAAGTCATAAAAGCAATTATCACTTTTGTTCTGATAAACGAAAATTTTCATTTCCATTTCCATCCCTCCAGAATATCGGTCTCGCAGATATTTTAATGATTCAAATGGAAATCTTTTCCATTAATTTATTAAATGAAGGCCTTTCTTCAAAAATATAAATTTTCAAAAAAGATCAACAAGTTGATATTAGTGTAACGTAAATAAAATGTTGCAACTACTGCTGGAATTTCCTACACCTGAAGTCTAACTTGTTTTTTTTTTAATTTTATATATGCTTCTACACCCAAAATTAAGTTTTCTAACAAAAAAAAGTTTTCGTGCATCATATGATGACACACAGGTTAATTGGGAAGGCCCCCCCGCAATATGTTCATGTTCTCTAATGCAAGTCCAACCCTCTCTCCTCTTCTGATCTGAAAAAAACAAAGAACAATAATGCTTTCCAAGCTAGAAAAGTCAGCATCTATCTATATTATTAAGAAAAGTGCCTTACCTTAAACCTCGCTTACGCGTCCGTGATCCGCCGTCAGAGGCGACTTAGATCCCAAAACTGCATCATGTTCGTGATTAAATTAAAAAAAGAGCCCCTAATCCCCCAATCAGGAGGCAACATCACATCCTAACAGTGAGGGCATTTCCGTCAATACCACACCTGTCCGGACCTCCCGCTTCCTATAAATCCCCGTCATCTCAACTTTAGCCACAAAATTCATCCAATTTTTTTCCCAAATTTTAAAAAAAAAACACTTGCAGCGGCATCCACCACCGGAGCTCCCATCATCGGCCCCACCCCTCCGTGTCAACCCCCTCCTCAGAAGTTCTATTTGCAGTTCAGCCCCTGGCCGGTCCGCCCGGCCACCGGGAGGAGCCGCTCGCCGGAGGAAGCCCCCCAGTCTCCTTGCCCTGCGGCTGGTTCATGGGGTTCTCGCTGTACCCCATGAAGACGTCCACGCGGTTGCTCTGGAGCACTAGCTTCTTCCGCCATAAGCTCAGCTCCTCCTCCTGCTTCCTCTGAGTCCGCCCCTTCCGATCGCCTCGGCGGCGGCCCGCTGCTGCTGTGTGGTCCTAGCATCCGTTCAAGTTTGTGTTTGTGTTTGTGGCTCGTGTGTGCGTGTGCGCGCGCGCGTACCGGCGTACGGGTTTCAAGATTGGGTTTTGTCGCGTTCTTGGTGAGAGGAAGGGACTAGGGCGCGGGCAAGAATCAGCATAGCATGGATCCGAGCGCGGTCAGTTTCGACTCCGGCGGCGCGCGGCGGGGCGCCGGCGGCAGGCAGATGCTGCTCTTCGGCGGCGGAGGCAGCGCCAACAGCAACGGCTTCTTACGAGGTGCGTCAGTGACTATCCGTGTACCATGGGCCAGTCAGATCTGGATGCGTCTCGTGGTTCTCGAGACGCCGATTGCTTAACCGGTGGTCAATGGTCATGTGGCGCAGGTGTTCCGATGGCGGTCCTGTGCATGGACGACGCGACGCGCGTGGGCAAGCGGCCCTTCTTCACCACACACGAGGAGCTCCTTGAGGAGGAGTACTACGACGAGCAGGCGCCCGAGAAGAAGCGCCGTCTGACGGCGGAGCAGGTGCAGCTGCTGGAGCGGAGCTTCGAGGAAGAGAACAAGCTGGAGCCGGAGCGCAAGACCGAGCTGGCTCGCCGCCTGGGGATGGCGCCACGCCAGGTGGCCGTGTGGTTCCAGAACCGCCGCGCGCGCTGGAAGACCAAGCGGCTCGAGACCGACTATGACCGCCTCAAGGCTGCCTACGACGCGCTCGCCGCCGACCACCAGGGCCTCCTGGCCGACAACGATAGCCTCCGGGCACAGGTAGCTGACTCATCACCTCGCTTCGTCTCCGCGGCTAATCGATTTTTACTTGATTTCATTTCATCGGTTACCACATGCGTTGTTCAGGCATCTTCGCTCCCCAGTTAGTTAGGTTGGTCGCCGCACTGCTGCCTAGGTGGATCGAATAAATAGGAAATGCCATCTGGATCCTTGAACTTGTTCCTATTGCCAACTTAATGATTTAGCTACAATTTTTGCGAACGGTCCTTAAGCTTCATGTTAACTTTAAATTGGTATTGGTATCATTGGGCATCTTTTCCACTTTATGTTTGTTTATTTGCCTCTCTTCTCTCTGTTAAATAAAGATCATGGTCTGTAGTTCCATGCCATGGTGCGATAAAAAGATTGCAGGTGCGTGCATATCCCTAGGAACTAGAGTTCATGATCATCGTTGTTTGGATGTTTTGAAATCCCAGCATGTATGTCAAGTTAGTGTCATCAATGCTATCAACATTACTGAAACATGGGCTTTAAGATGAGCATGCTTAGATAATATAATGACTTTCGACCATACACCCAAAACAACCGAATACTTACATTATCCAGTAGTGTTGCTATCGGTAGTAGCTTCTTTCCAAAGTGTGAATTTAATGAGAGAGAAATAGTCAACTCGTCTTTCTGATGCTTATATGTATGCTGTTCCCATTCAAGACATTTATGTCGAGCAATTGTCAATCGGCAATCACAGCCCCTTGTAATGAAGGTTGGTAAGATTATAAGGAGTTTTGAGGGTTTAGCTAGAAAAACGTAGGTCTTGGTATTCAAATTTTCTGAAGCCCAAGGGCCTCTGTGTGAAAAAGCTGTCTTCTCACGGCAGGTTACTGTTTATAAAATTAAATAATCTAGTACCACTTTTGTCACATTCAATTTGGCCATAGGTAGTCATCAACAATGACCCACAACTGGATGTATTTTAGCTATTATCCAATTCAACTCTGCAGTGCTTAGGAATCTTGGGTACCTATCGTGCGCCTCCCAAGTCTAAATCTGATAATTTATGCTAACCTATACGATGTGAAAGAGTTAATTGCTCTAATCTATGCATCACGCCTTTTGAAATACATATAGTGAATTATTGTTATTTTTTGTCAACTGCTGTAAACAGATTACCAAATACTCAGTCATGTCATGAGCAACAGTAGTGGTCCTTTGTAATTAAATCAAAGTAATTGTTTAGTTTAGACTTGAGTGACAATTCTTATAGAGGTGTATGTGCAAATATTAATTAAAATGAACAGTCTAGCTTAAGATGTCTTTAATAGGTCTAAATGTTTTACAATGAACTGGATTTAAATCTCAAACTAATGCTAGATTTTAGGGAAGATGTGCTCTAGTATATGTCTAAAACATGTCAAAATTTAGAAATACAAAGGAAGATAAAGACCTACAATTTAATATTGCAATCATTGCTCTATTCACTGTATTTGTTTTCTCCATACCCTACGAATGAGACTGGTTGGATCTTAAAAATATTCAGATGTAATTAATATGCCTACCTCAATATCTATTATCTGTTTTAGAGCTTCTGAAAGTATTGCAACTAGTGTTCACAGAATTCGCAATCACAACACTTATGCTATCTTCATTAAATGCATCCCTTTTAATAATCTCTTGAAATTTAAATATTCTTCTTCTTAGGTTATATTGTTGTAGTTTTTACTTAGATCAGATTGTACTGATTAACTTGCACGTATAACCCATACCATTTCTGATGAAAAATACTACTTGGAAAATAAGGATACTACTAAATTGTTTGCTGGCTTGAAATAGTTAAAATATCCAATTTGACTGAACATGACACTTGATTTTTTTGTTTTCTTAGAAAGAAAACAAATAGGGGAGAAGACCGACTGAGAATCACTAAGGCCTTTTCAAGGATAATAGTTCAACGCGTTTTTAAAGCTATCTGGGGATGGCTGATCCATGTTTCTAGGTTGTGTTACTGAAAGATTGCTTAGACTATTTTGTAGAGGGAATATATACATAATCACTAGGAGTTTGCAGTTTAATCATGTTTGAAGGAAAATACTAATATTGGCACAGTGAAATCTGCACAAATTACATGTTAGATGGCATTAACATCTTTCATAAGGCCTCTTAAGACAGTACCACAGTTTATCAATCATACCATTGCTGTTCTATTTAAGTATCTGATTGTCACACGCTGTGTCTTAAATGTAAACTTATATGAAAAATGATACACCCAGAGGTCGCATGTGCTGATGGTCCCCTTTATCAGATCAGATCACAGTGCCAGCTGAATAGTAATGTTTCAATGACTACGATCGACACAATTAACAATGTGTGGTACAGGTGATCTCCCTAACGGAGAAGCTGCAAGGCAAGGAGACATCCCCGTCGGCGACCACTGCTGCCCAAGAGGTCGACCAGCCAGACGAACACACCGCTGTGTCAGGCACTGAGAAACTGCTGGCGCAGCAGCTCAAGGACGACCTCCACAGCAGCGGTGACTGCACTGGCCATGGTGCCCTCTCTTCGGAGGAAGAGGATGGTGGTGTGGTCAGCAACGAGGGCTGCAGCTTTGATCTCCTGGATGCCATGTTCGCTGCAGGGGTCACCCACCATGGCGCCGAGGAGGCGCAGCTGGCCAACTGGACATCCTGGTTCTGGAACTGATCAGTGATGGATGGATGGATGGATGCATCAAGTGCAAAGAGCAAATCCTCCCCTGGTTAAGACCCTTTTCTGCACCATATAATTACTGTGTTGGTTATGTGCCGCCGTCAGATGTTTTCAAGTAATGAAACAGTACTGATGCTGTAAGTTTATGTTTTTGAAGATATGTTCATATATAATAATATGCTTTGAACATGAGACTCGAAAAGTTGAAATAAGTGGACGTGGAGACCTGTTGTGCACTAACAGCCCACATGAAAATGTATATCCAACTTGGGCCTGTGAATAAGATGATGAAAGTATATCCAACCACTGCCCCTTGATTTGGTGTATGTAACTGTTTTATACTACCAAAATAAAAGGTTTAACTAGCCTCTATATGCTATTGAGTGTTACAGAAATTAAAAAAAAAACTGGAATTTTTTTTTATTTTACACTGAAAGGTGATGGTACCTCTCATGCCATCAGATAACTGTTTTCATGGCAAAACGAAGGAAAAAGAAATAATGTGGTGGTGAAAAGGGACCATGCGTTTTCTGGAGGCCGGCCGGGATTTTTTTTTTCCAGAGAGAACGGTCTTAATTGGGAATGTGAATTGTGGTGGTGTTTTTTTTAGAAAAAATGCAACTCTTTGAGCCAAAAACAAAAGACACCATGCTAATGGCATGTTTGGCATAACTTGTGGCTCTAGCTTTTTCTACACTTGTAATTGTATCTGCATTGTTCATACTTCATAGGAACTGTTTTTCTCTCTCCTATCAAAATGAAAGCCAGAAAAAGAACCATAGCTCGACATCAAGTTTGACATTATGACCACTATATGCAAACACTCAACATTCACGTCAATGTCGTAACTGGGAATTGGTAGCCCAGGTTCGATCCATATGAGCAGTCGAAGTTTGATTCTGCTGTGATGGATGATGGAGATGAAAGCAACAAAACCCTGCCCACCCTGACTTTGGGAGTGGATGGATGGATACTGGATAGACATAGAGGAGATGACAGCGTTCACTCTATTTTGTCGCAATGCATAAGGTGCCGCTGCAATCTATCAAGATTGATTGATGTCTCCTGAGCAGCCTTCGTCAAACTTCTGGTAAATACAGTACCAAATCTGCTTCGAGCTTCGTTACGCGTAGTACTTACAATTTCAAATCAGCATAATAAACAAAATAACTCGACTGCAGAACACGTGGATACGAATCACAAAGCGCGCAAAATAAGGGGGGAAAATTGCAGCTACGCAAGCAAAAGGAGAATTTCATACTCCATATTTGGGCCGGACCAGCCTTCTTTGCCAGCCTCAACCGAAATATTGGGCTGGGCCATTCTTGCTGGTGCTTAGCTCTGCGCTCCGACCACGCAGCTCGCGCATCGCTAGCAACACATGCCACTGATCCCAACGCCTACACTGCGCACACAAATAGAACGGTTTTATCTAGGTTCTTAAACTACGATATTGCGTATCTACATCCACAAATCATATAAGTATATCACGGCTCATTATCGGACGTAATGGTTTAGTATTGAACTAACGTGTGGATCTATAGCTCATAATTACATAAATGGTTCCTAAACTAATGTGTAATTCTCGTACAGATCCTCTAAATCATGAAACTGAAAATTGGAGTCCATAATCTTGAAACTGAAAATTAGAATCCATAATCCATTAAAGTATCTCAATCCCGATGCAAAGTAACACATGCATGCTCTATTCAAAGGGACGTAAGACGGTTCTCCGTAAACCCGTAAATAGACTAAATTTTTATACGATAATCGTAAAAATATAGTATATTTGTGGGTTTACGGACAACCCATCTTGCATCCCTCGTCATTGCCCAACTTGCCTCAAAAGCTTTGAAACCTTTGCTTGTTCTTGTTCTCCTGTAATCAATGGCAACATGCTAGCATGCACATTTAGACTGGGTCGTACAATGTAATTGCGCGTGCATTCTCAAAAAAGGCACCTGCGCGATGACCCGGAGTGACAGCAGCGCAGGTAGTTCTAGCAACGTGCATAAGAATAGTAACGGCCTCGATGCACAGATGCGCTTGTTGCATGTGATGCCAAGTAGACATGGCCGGGTGATTAAAAAAAAAGTAGACATGGCCGGGTGCATGCAGGCAGCTGGTGTAGCGGGGCATGGTGAGGGCGTCATTCCAGCAACGGGGATGTGGGTATAATAGATTAGGGATCTATCTATGCTAGTATTTGTTATAGGTGCTGGTGTGTTTTTCTGTAAACTCGGTTAAAGTTAGAGAATTTTAATTATGACAAAACTAAAATTATCTATATTTTGAAACCAAGGAAGTATACACATTATAAAATATTTTTTCTAACCAATCCATTACTAAGCTAGTTTCAATCTTGTATTTTTAATCTTTATACACAATCTTAGATATTCATGTTTAAGTTCAGAAAGTTTGACTAAAACAAACCTAGATGTACTAGACTACTAGTATAAGCTTAATAACGTTTATGATAGGACCAAGTTTATGGTCTAAGCTTTAGGACATGTACAACACACACGGCTTGCTGTTTGTAAGTTACATACACACAATTAAATAGACAGCTTGTACAATGGACTGTCTATTTAATTATCTGCACGCTATTAAATACAAACATGCATCTATGATCAAGCATGAACACTACTGGAAACTAAAATTTCTCCGTCGGTGCAAAACCAACAGGGAAATATGGAAAACCGACAGAAAAATACCGACAGTGAAATAGAAAATGCATGTCGTTGAACCATTTTCTCTGTTGGTGTACCAATTTCTTTGTCGGTAGGACGCGGCGAGTGGCAGGAGCGGCGGCGCTGCGATGAGAGGCAGGAGCGATGGTGGGGCTACGTGATGCAGGAGCGGCGGCTGCATCTAAGGAGCACTAGGGTTGGGACACCATTTATATATGGGTTCAGGCTAAGCGCGCACTCTTTTGGGCCGACTGAAAGGCCACCGCGGCCCAGGTCCAGGTTAGCAAATAGCTTTGATTCCAAGCACACGTTGAGTTGAATTTCTCTGTCGGTACTACGATTATTGACAGGAAAACGCCATTCCCTTGTCGGTGTACAGTAACACACAGAATAATTAAAGATTTTTTCTATCGGTTTTACAATTTTTCTGAGTGTTTTATGATAACCGACTGTCGGTTGGTCCAATACCAATAGGAATATTTCGGTTTCCAGTAGTGGAATAAGATCTCCATGTGACATTTTGTTGCTTCTTTGACACAAACGTGATCAAGCATATGTAACATTTCTTTAGAACCATCAATGCATGATCTCGTGAGACGATGGCCTCGCTGTCTCCTGTGTCCGCCAGGGGTGTTTTTGCAAAAATGATGGCATGGAGACGGCTCAAAAACGCCCGTTGTAGGTGCCCTTAGTTCATTATTCACGTACTCTCAGTCTCAGCGCATTATTATTTTACTATTTCTCGTGGTCCTCAAAACTTATGTTCGACCAAACTCGAACATGTAAGCACATGTCACTTTAATATATTAAGGGTAAAGTCCAATTTTCACCCTCCAACTTTCATTAAAGTCCGGATTTCAACCTCGAACTTCAAAACCGGACAACTTTGGCCCTCCAACTCTTGAAAAAGTTCAACTTTCAACCTTCTGGGCGGTTTTGGTAAAAGTTGGAGGGTGTATATTGGACTTTACCCATATATTAACAACCACGTTGATGGGATCGGACTTCATAATCTCGATGAAAATATTTCACAAAAACATTTTAAAAATAAATCCCACGCCATGCATGTGTCATTGATGGTGTTTGAATATTAATTGCGATATGTGCTACCGATTTGTCAGTGTGTTCAAACTGACAACGAAATGGTGACGCAAGCAAATTTCTGAAATCAAAGGGAATATTAGAACGCATTATCAGACCACGACCAGCTAACTATAAGAATGATATTTTTCTAACAATTACAGGAGAATCAGAAACGCATCCATTAAACATGTATAATGTCGAGACAATCATTAACATCCCTCGATGCTGTTCATTCATCAGGTTCACCTGCCTGCCGGTGTGAAGTCAGGCACCCAAGAAATTTCATCTGCATTTCTTGTGAAGTCCTCTATGCCTTGCGAACAAGAACACAAAAATATGCATATAAAAACCTCTCGAACCCATGTCTCGCTCAGGTCGAACGACGGTCCCGAACATGACATTAAAGAAAAAAATCATTACTAAAATGGTGGAATTATCCTAGTGTTGTAATAAAACACGACCACTAATCATAGCACATGAAAATTTTCACTAGAAAGCATTTGGTAGAGAAAGTTTATACTACACTAGGAGACGTCTAAAATTCTAGTTGTGATTGACACTGTAGCCCCGGCAGATCTTATAAACTTGTGCTTTAGCATGAGACAGACAAATGGTTTTTTAACCCTTCCGTTGATCGTTTCTTATCGCCTTGAAGTGTGGACATGCGATGAGTACAATATAGATAATAGGTAATTAGTTAGTACAAATTTATTAGGGTTTATTCTTATGATCATAGTTGTATGTTTTTCTACTAATTTAGATGTAGCAAATTTTGCATTGTTACCTTAGGGGCATTTGTCTCATAGCGAAAAAAGAAAACTACAAAAATCGACTTATCTGTATCTAGTATTAAAGACAAAAAGAATTATTTCGTCTATCCTTTTTTAATTCCTACAATACCCTCGTGCTCCTCTCTGTTTCATATGTACGACTCATGATCCGTGTTCATACAAGTTATGGTCTTTTTGGCATAGCTGAAAAGGGCTTCAACTAGCTTATCTGGCAAGTGCATTGTGGTGCTACTGTTGAGCTTTTGTAGATTGAATCCGATGAAACCGTTGGCAGCAAAATGAAGTAGATAGGTGTTGAAGCCGATGAAGGCAGTGTTTTGGGGCTTCAAATGACTTATGATGTAAGTAGCTTCAATGCATGAATAATAGTGAACTTGAAGCTAGGACAAAGCCTTACAAAAGAGGACCTTGGAACCGCGCGTGTACGCAC